CTGCTCTCTTCACTGTCTCCGCTGCACTCCCTCTCCTTTTCCCTCTACTTCTCTCGTTTCCTGCGTCTTTTTTTCCCCGCTGGCTTCAGCGAGTCTGCCACGACTCTACGAGCACTACTACTACTTCTGCCGATGACGACGTTGACGGTGCGGCACCGTGCGGTGTGCGCGTTGGCGCTCCTCGTGCTGCTCTGCGGCTGCTGCTGCGCCCCCTCCGTCTGCGGGGCGACGGGGGCTCCTGCTGCTGCTACGACTGCAAAGCGTGCATCTCCGCCGGCGGTTCTGCCAAAAGAATGGCAGCCGGTGAATGTGTCGGTGGAGGTGTCCTGCGCGGACAGTGACAACAAGTTAAGTTGGCGCTTCTCTAGAGAAACTGCGTGGAAGAAGTGTGCGGCCGCGGTGGGAGCGCACGACTACACAATTGTTGGGGAGGACTCTACCGCGGGGGACGAGGAGGTGGAGGATGTTGTTACCGTGGACATCGTTTCGGTGGACGTGTCTCAGTACGGAGCAGGCGACGGCGGCGTCAGTGAGTCCCTCTGCGCCTCCGCCGAATCGCTGTACGCGACTGCGGACTGCAGCGCGAGCTGCGACAGCGACAAGAGTGATCAGACCGCGTTCACGATGAACTTCCCTACGCATGTCGGCAGCGGAGTGCACAAGAAGTGGGCGGCGGCGAATAATCAGGCCCCCGGCAGTCCGTCTCTTTCTGCCGCAGACGGTGGCGGACTTGGCAAGCCAGGCGTTTGCCCGTTAACAATCCCCGCGAGGGAGCCAGCCGGAAAGGGTGCGTCGCGGGGAGAAAAGGGAGCCGGCGCGGGAGAGCAACCACCAGGACCACCTGCGGCCCCGCCAGCAGGCACAGCGGAGAGCGGGACACGTGGATCCGGAGAGAGCGGCACTTCCCCAACTCCCCAACGCCCTTCCGCCACGCCCAACTCCGCCGCCCCTCCCACCGGCGGCACCGAAGGAACCACCACGACCACCACCAGCAGTCCGAGTGCTGCGAAACACACAAAAAGCAACACAGACGGCAGTGAAATCATGACGGTGCGGGCGCGCGCCCCACTGCTGCTGCCGCTGCTGCTCACGGCTGCCCTTGCCTGCGCTGCAGCGTAGGTGGGGCGAGGCAACCGCACACACACACACCCTGGCAGGGACGAGGCGCATACGCTGTGTGCGCTCAGTTTGCTTGTCCTCCCTGTGGGGCAGCCTCTCTCTCCTCTGTGCTCTGAGGGACTTTTTATTTTCCTTTGTTCCTTTTTTCTATTGCTTTGCCGCTCCACGCGCGTCCCCATGGGCGGCGCACCCTTTTCCCCTCCTGTTTGCTTCCACACCCACACAAAGGCGGTGCCGGCCGCATTTCTGTGCGCCGCACGGATGTGACGCAACTGTCAGGTGGAAGCGCAGGCCGAACGCCGCACGTAATGTGCGAGGGATGTGTGGGCTCATGCAAGAAGGCGATGTTTTCTTATTTTATTCGTGCAGGTATTAAATATTACACACTCATACAGTCCTCTTGTGCTGCTGGACGCGTGAAGGTAAAGAAAACACCTGCCGAAGTAATTCTTCTTTTTTGTTTGTTTTCCCTGAGTTCTGCTGGGCTTCCGCATTGTTTCTTTTTTCGTTTCAATTTTGTTGGAGTAACTTGCCGCGGCTCACGTTGAGTTTGTGCGCCGTGTCCGCCACTGTCGCTGCGTGTCTTCGTGCTGCGTTTACTTCCGCCGCTGGCGGTGCCGCCGACACGCCCCCATCTCCTCCTCCTCCTCCTTCCCGCTAGAGGCACCGGCAGTCCGTGACGACGACGGCACGGTGCTCGTGCACGTGCTGCGCTGCGAAGGGGGGCGCGGGAGTGACGGGGCGTGCGGCCGCCTTTTTCCGCGCCCCAGCAGGCTACCCCGGGTGGCTTGGCGCCCCAAGCGCCGCAAGGGCACAAAGGAAGGAAGGAAGGAAAGTAAAACAAAAATGACTCCCCGGTTGCCTCAACTCACGCCGTTACTCCCACTGCTCCTGCTGCTGCTGTTCGCGATGGACTGCGCCGCTGCGGACCGCCGTGCGTTTGACGAGGCGACGCGGAGCAGCGACTCGCCGCCGGCTGCGGTGGTGCGTGAGGTGCCGCGGAGGGGGCAGGGCGCGGCCCAGGTGTACACCGTCGTCGCAGCGGTAGCGGCAGGAGAAAAGAGCAACGAGGGCTGGGCGCCCATCCGCATCGTGGTGTCCACGGAGGACCTGAGGGACCCAACTAAGTACTGCACGGCGCAGGATGAGAGCAAGCCGGACCTTAAGGGCGGGGCTGGGGATTGTGCGGAGCAGTACGTTCTGGACGCGGCAAGGAAGAGCACCCTTGTGGACGCGGTCATCCCTGTGGCTGTCCAGCTGCACGCGGAGCGCCTGCTCGTTCAGCGCGTGGATGGTTTGTTGCAGGTGCCCCAGTTCACTGACACGTTTGGGCGGTGCCAGCACTTCAAACTCCCCGATGAGCACAAAACAACGGGAGTTGCCAATGCGGACATGGTGCTCTACGTGGCTGCCGGGGCGAGTGCCGAGACGTGGGCGGTCCCGTGTGCCGTTGGGTCAAACGGTCGTCCAGTTGCCGGTGCGCTGCACGTCTCACCTTGTCAACGGTTGTCTGTCATGCACTCTGCCCGCGTCGCTGCGCAGGCCATCGGTCATGCGCTCGGCTTCGGCGTGCAGCAGATGAGGGCGCAGAACATGTTGTTGGAGGACGTCACTGATGTGCGCGGCAACCCCAGCCCTGTGACGGTGGTGAAGTCACCCGCTACGCTGGAAAAGACGAAGGCGCACTACGGCTGCGCCGAACTGCAGGGCATGGAGCTGCTCAGGAAGAAGCACGCCAAGGTGGAGAGAGTCTACTGGTCGCCGCGCAACGCGAAGGACGAGTTGATGAGCCTTCTTGGTGGGCTCACCGCCGGCCTCTACACCGCGCTGACGATGGCGGCGTTTGAGGGCCTCGGCTTCTACAGGGCCGTGTGGGGGTGGCGGAGCCGATGGCGTGGGGCAACGGCTCCGGCTGCGACCTCCTCAAGAGCCCGTGCTCGGAGAGCAGTCCCGCCAAATACCCCGGCATGTTCTGCGACAAGGAAACCGACAAAACTTTTCGCTGCACGTCCAGCCGTCAAGCCATCGGGCCATGTGGTCCGAATATTGCTAAAGGCAGCGGTGCCAGGAGCGAAACGTGCTCAGTTGTTGGGCCGGATTCGGGCCCTTCAGAGCCTTTTTTTTTTTTGCAGCGTGAAGGGAGAGGAGCGCATCCCCGGCTCCCTCCACGGAAGTGGCTCGTGGTGCCTCGATGCGGAAGCACTCAAGTTGAAGGGTACTGAGAAGACCAAGTTGGACGGCTACAAGTTGCACGCGGTGTGTGCGGAGGTGCAGTGCGGTGAGGGCGGCACGGTGAAGGTGAAGTACCTCGGCGCCGCTGAGTATGCGCTGTGCCCCGAGGGAGAAGCAATCGATGCGGCGCTGGAGGGTTTCGCGGCAGGCGCGAGGATCAAGTGCCCGAAGTACGAGGAGGTGTGCACCATCGCCGCCAACGGCAGCAGCCTCGTTGTTCCGCGCGTGTTGAGTGGAGCAGAGCAGGCGAAGGGTGCGGCAGTTGGGCCGCCCGGTGCGGAGGCCACTGGCGGGGCCGCGGGTGGGGTTTCTTCCGGTGCAAAGGCAGCGGCGGGGTCAGCGGCGCCCCCCGTGGCCCCCAGAGACAGGGGAGCCGAAGAATATGGCTCTGTCTTTTTGCTTCCCCTCTTTCCTTCCTTCGTTTTCTTTTTATGTGCCCCTTCTTTGCTGCTGGTGTTTTGCCTGTTCCGCCAGTTGCTCCATCGAGTTTTTTTTTTAATCTTGGGCGGCGCGTGTTGATTTGCTCCACGCGCCTTTTCCGCTTCGCGCGGCCCTCCGGTGGGGGTTCCCTTCGCCCGCCACACCGCCCTCAGGCAACGCGGCGAAGGCGCGCAAAGGGGACGGGGCATGGGCGGGACGACGCGCGGCCCCCCGTTCCTCGAGGCTAGTTGCAGCAACGACGCAGAGGAGTTTGTTTCTTGTTTTGTTTATTGCACTCCTGGAATATTTTTTCTTTTTGTAGTTATGGACTTGTGCGCCCCCGTTGAATTTTTTGTTGCGTATCCTTTGTTGCTTGGCGTGGGCCACCTTCCGCCGCCCCGCGGCCGCCGCCCCTCGCGGCCACGAACACTTTTTATCTCTCCCTCTGCGTGTGTGTGTGTGTGTGTGCCTCTCTCGCCCTTCTCCTTCTGTCTCCTCCTCTTTCTCTCTATTTCTGTCCCTCGCTAGACTCTCTGTGTGTGTGTGTGTGCGTGTGGTGGGAGGAGTGGCGATGGCTGGCCGTGCGCTGTTGGTGTGCGCCCTCTGCGCGCTGTGCTGCGCCGCCGGCGGGGGCCGGGCGTGGGAAGAATTCTGCACGGAGAACAGTTGGGATTATTATAAGACGTATTTTTCCAATGAAAGTGAAGGAACGCTTTTGGAAAAGTACTGTAACCACAACGAA